CAACTGCAAAGGGAAAGGAGTCCTCTACTGCGCCTCAGACGCTTCATTCGCTGATGACTCTGTCACTCGAAAAAGCACTCAAGGATATGTGATGATGCTATTCGGAGGTCCAATTCATTGGAAAGCAGTCAAACAACGAAGAGTAGTCACTTCAAGCACAGAAGCTGAGCTTGCTGCTTTGACAGCAGCCACAAGAGAATATATGGCAACCATTCGACTCATGGAACAATTGAATCTCCAATTAGATGATAAATACATCATGCAATGCGACAATAAGCAAACTCTTCGACTATTGATTGCTGAAAGACCCCAAGCGACTAGCAAATTACGCCATATCAATATCAACAACTTATGGCTTCGCCAGGAATTACAGAAGGGATCAATTGACTTTCAATGGGTTCCAACCAACGAAATGGTGGCAGACGGTATGACTAAAGCAATGCCAGCCCAAAAACACAACCACTTTATCGCCCAATTGGGTATGGCGAATATTGAACATTTGATCGAGAAGAACGCAGTATGAATCTGGAATTTGGTAGTAAGTATACGGAGTTCTGAATAGTATCATTTCTGTATTTGAATGAGAATACAGAGAATCAACCTACAACAGGTTGCCTCTCTGAGGGGGTGTGTCACACGGACCACTGCATATATCGGGGCATGCATTCAACCCATGCACCCGGCTATTGTTTCCCATATAAAACTAACGGGGATGTCATTTTGTGCATGAAAACCTTCAAATCGGTAATTACCGAATAGACGGTTATATAATCAACCCAATAACCCCTAGACAGTCTCTAATGAATGGAAGCATCTTTTTTTACCCCATAAGTGGTGGGCAAATTGACTGCGTGACAGGATGCCTCGGGCAAATATCTGGGGCTCAAAAAAAACAGGGCGATCGGCACTAAAAGTTCCTCTACCGGAAGGATGTCCCCCTTCGATGACCCGCTCCTGCACTGTACCGTAGTACCGTAGTATCCGCTTGTGGCTCCTCGGGAACGGGTTCCAGGGGTTCGTGTGGAAGGAGGCAACGAGGGAATCATGCAAGGCAGGTGTGCCCGGTATGAGAAAAGGATTAATTACTCAGTGAGAAACCTGAACAACTGCACCTGTAGCCAGCGTCATTTTTCTTTCTTAGATTCTTGGCTGGCCCGGTTACTCCCGGATATACAGCAACAGCACAGCAATGTGAGAAAACATCATGTTATGTAGTGTTTCTCGGCGGTCACACGCACTTTGCCCCAAAATCGGAACTCGCCCGAACCATTCGGTCGTGTCTACTTCATCGATTGATTATTTTCGCCCCCGCCTCCCAAAGTGACGATACCCTGCATTTTCGTACCAGGCGAGAGAATTGACTCCTCTGGATAATATCTGCCATCAACTCACAATACGTGTATACGACAAGCCATGGAGTCTTTGGAAGAATACTGGAGCCGTCGATGCTTGAGTTTGTGCCAAACCTGGAGAAAACGGGGCTTCCCAGCGCTTGTTCCCGATGATATGGATCCCTAGCCGGCTGCCAGAGTAAACGAAACCGCCAAACTATTCTTGCCTCAAACCTACGCAGTACACTAGCTAAGAAGCAACCTCTTGTGAATACATCGCCCACTGAATTGCCGTTTGCCTACCATGTACCGTAGTAATGCATAGCACCGCTGACTTTCTCCAGAAGAACCGTATCTGTGCCATAGGCTCGGCACTTGGCATCGTCCCAGGATCCGCGTCTTGTCACCATCCTGTCATCCCTCCCCTCCCTTCCAGCCAACGTGGGGCGAAACTTGGTAGTCAGGCATCCATAAATCATACTTTCAAGCTCAAACGTCTTTGCGTCTAGCACTCTTGCGCTCCAATCGTCTTCGTCGTCTTGTCATTGTGATCCTCATGCGGTGTCCGCTGTTAGCAAAGGTCAGGAGCCGCCCTCCGGTGGAGGCGCACACCCGTCCCGGGATCTCCCCTCCCATCGACGGACTTCGGTCCCACTGCCGACCAGCGTCGCATCCATTTCGGTTGTATCGGCGCTACGGAGGCTCAGGAGGGATGCAGGGGGGATTGCCGAGTTGAGCAAACCGGGCCAATCAAGGTTCATTATTGTGGTCGACTGCGCCGTACGAAGCCAAATGTTGCCGCAGCCAGACCTGCCGTTAGTGGATCTTGTTGACATACTCGAGAGCCAAAGATAACTTGTTAACCGCCATGCACTTAGCGCCTGGTTGTTGTGCAAGCTGAGGCTCAAGATAAGCGACTAGCACTGCGATGCAGGGTTCTGCAGTGACATACGGAAGGTCCAAGAAGTCGAATTGATATCTCCTTGACTTGACTGGTGACAATGAGAAGTCGTAGAATTTGACGAGTCTTCCCCAAAGTCCTTTGATCTGTCCCAACTTTTTTTTGAATCATCAGCATTAAACAATTCCCTGTCACTTGATCATATCCCATCGACTGCGAGTTGGCTACAGGTACATAGCCTGCGGGGTTGTAGCCATTCAAGGACAGACAGTGTAAACTTCCTTCCAATCCTATACCTCTTTTCCATGGAATTTGGGGAATTATGGACCGATTTGTGGCACATATTGTACCTGTAGCCAACTCGCAGTCGATGGGATACTTGGGCTATAAATGGGTTTCTGGTACTGGCATTCCCTAGAATGACACACGCCTTGAGCGCACCTACTGTCAGGAAGAAGCTGCTTCACTCAGAACTTGCCTTCTGAACCTGCCATCATGCCTTCCCAAACTTGTTACTGTTTACATTGACTTTGTTTAAACTTTCCGTCCTCCACTTTCTATTTTGGCTCTGGGGATCTGATACTTTAAATCTTTCCGTCATTTTATTTCTGTGATTCTGCGTCAATGGTTATTTCACCATTCCTTGTCAATCGCGACACAATTTTGCTTGTCTGATTCATGATGGGAAATCTCACAATCAGCAGTTTCCCCGACTGATATATCATGAGAATTATCATCATGGTTCACTCTTCTGAATATCTAGACTTGAACTGTGTGGTATTCTTCCCATCTTCACTCTCACCATCAAAACTTTATCACTGGAGTTGCGCGAAAGCTTATCAGAGACCAGATTGCCAAATTGACTTCCGAGACAGCTTTCAGCTTTCATAGTGACAAAGAGATAGTTTTGGCATTGCCAACGATCATTTTTCTCTGATCCCCAATGAAGCCAAGAGTGCTGACACGACCTGAATTCTGTTTACAGCTGTCTGCTGTACCACGGTTGCGTATGAGGCATATAAGCCATGCTATATTCTCGATACTTGTATGGTGAAAATGCTCAATAGAAAGTTTATCAACCGACTGTGGGCTTTAGAAATGCGCGAGATGCCTGGTGACCTGGAAATTTGAGAGCAAGCTTTATGATGCATCAGCGGCCTCAGCTCAATACTAGCTGCCTTCCAGTAAACATGGACAAACATTGTGTCCTACTGTTTCTAGGCCCTCCGATGATGGGCAAAATTAAGAGCAGTCAATGCCCGAGATTAGTTGTGTTCGATCAAAAATGGTGGCTAGTAGAAAGGACTGCCAAGTGACATGTATGATATAAGGAAAACGATGAACTTCGGTTGACAGGTGAGTACATCATCTTTCAAGGTATATGGCGATGCCTCAGGAAATACACCTACTGTTTACGAGTTTGTCCATAGGACTTGGTCAAGTAAGCCCACAATTTTAACTCAAATATGCACGGTAAAATTGAACACACTACCTTCCTTTCCCAGCCACGCACAATACGTTTGTAAGTATCTGGCTGCGATAAGATGTCCATCCTAACGTACAACCTTTAACCCAGGAACAAAATTTGACCTGGTTCAAAAGGCAGTCTTACTTCCTTTGGTCTAGAGAACAGGGGTCTGGAAGCTTCATTTACACTCTTCAGGGGGTTCGTGCCGCAATCTAACCGCAAATAGGGCCGGCTGCAGATAATTAGGCTGACACACTTCTGCTGTGCCGCTTCTTCTTCAACTGGGCATATTTTTTCCCATGATTGAATTCGAGGCCAAACAGCGTTGACGGCATGCTATCACCAGAAACGTAAGCAAATATAAATACATCGTGAATCCCGTTGGTTTTCAAGTGTTTCCTGACGTTTATATTTCACCACTCATATGCCAAGCGTCCCGTTACCCGTTAAACTTCTCTCATTATTTAAACCTGATAATGAGACTCAGCAACATCTTTTTCATTCCCTTTGTGGCCACTGCGGCCGTGATGCCCCGTCAGCTTTCTCCGACCGCCACCAACGAGACGCAAACCGCTCCTACGGACATCGCGTCTTGCCAAGCTGCCGAGGGGACTCTTAAATGCATGGCCGGCATCTACTGGTGTTACTACCTTGTCCTTACCGGTAAGGGAGGCATGGCTCTGGCTCCTTTCTGGGGCCAGCCCTGCAGTGGTGCAGCTGTGCCTTCGACCACGAGCTTGGTGCTAAGTCCAACCGCTACTGCAGACAGAGGCGACTGTTTAGAACGCCAACTGAAATAACACAATATAAGGTGGTTTAATTTGATGGAAACCGACTTTCAGCTATTCTTATGTTGGAGGATATTTAAGTTTTGACAATGTTGCATTTGCTGGAGGAGAGGAGCTTTGGGTTACCTCGTGCGATCATGGACGCATGGCAGCGGCGTGCTTGTTCTCTCTGTGCATTTCAACTTCTTAGAGAATCGATCTTTTGCATGCTGTCTTTTATCGGAACCTCTAGCCTTCTAATCAAACTTCTGTGTTGAACCACCCGAATTACCGGCACCACATCAGTATGCCGGGTGAGTCACGCCGTCGCCCCACCTGCCGACACCATTGAACACCCGGAACGGGAAGGTGCTTGGCGCTAGGCGTCTTCCGACCTGCCGGTTCCCATTCTCCGGGTTTAGCGATATTACCGGGGCAACGATACTTGTCATACAAAAAGGCACCATGAACCAATCTTGCAAAATTATGTGTGAACAACAGGATTTAGGTATAATTCCAAGTTTTCGCCTATCATGGAATCACAAAAAGTCTTCATCCGGTCGGCCACGGAAGCAGACGCCGACGCTATCGCTCGGGTGCATCACGCGGCTCTCTCTCAATTCCACGACTTTTACAATGCCTTTTTCCAGCGACCTGTCGAAGAAATAATACCTCTGTCTACAGTAGCGGCGTTACAGAATTCAAAAAACCGGTTTCTGGTTGCCGTCGTCCCCGAGTCAGACGCAGTCGTGGGTTTCATCAGATACCACGTCGTAGATGCGACAGAACCCGCCGCTGCAACAACAACGGTGACCGCACCAGAAACCCATGCTACATCACCACCTCCTACACCGTCTATATTCGCTATAAAAAGCCACATGGAGCAGTTATGGGAGCGCTTTGGTCATCCGAGGGAGGACGAGATGGATGAGTGCTATGAAAAAGCTGCGAACGGAAGAAAACACAATTGTAAGACCCTGAACAAGCCCGGATCAATATCTGCCCTGTAGAGGCGCGCTTTCTAAGTTGCCGCTAATATTTGTCTAGACATCAAGCACATTATGGTTGATCCGGTACATCAGCGGAAGGGTATTGGTGCGAAGCTTTTGGGGACAGTCCTCAACGTCAGTGATGCTGAAAAGGTTCCAACTTTCCTGGTGGCATCGGCTGAGGGTCATGGTTTGTATAAGGGTCTTGGGTTTGAAGACCTGGGGACATGGACAATTGATAATGATTATTGGTCGAAGGAAATTGTTCAACACGAACGGCGACTTGGTATCATGGGCAATGCGACGCTGGCTGAAAAATTCGAGGGAAACAGGGAAATTGAAAAATGCATGGTCAGGTGGAACAAAAGTGAAGAAGAGTGATCACAAGATTCTCTGGAATTTTTGGTATTAGAGAACATCTCTGCGGCTTCGTTCGTTGTGGTTCTCGGCTTTGTGGTTCTCAAAGGATCCTATCTGTTTTGTCATCCGAAAGGCGCGGACGTGTATTGGAATAACGCTTGGTGGGAAAGCCGAGCTATTTTCATCAATTGGCTAAATAAGCTTACGAACAACCTTTTTCATCGACACGAGGTTCGCGGGCGTGCCGACCACCAAGATGCCAATGCTTGTGGGCTGAGGTTAAAGCTCGGGCTGTCAAGACGGAAGTCAGTAATCAACAAAGCTTCCCAATGTCGCCCGTTATTTGCCTATATTGGCGCAGGATACCAGGTTCAAGTATTTGACAAGTCTAAGACGGGTGGAAAAATACAAACCCATCGCAGTCTACCAGCGACGTCATCGAAATCAGATCGCCGAAAACTATGGCAAAGCAAATTTACGTAGGTTATCCAACAGACTCTCCCTTCACAGAACCCGGTACCGAAAGTAAGAAAGGAGGCTGTGGAAAGCTTACTTCAACGTGGACCTGTCATGTCCTCATCTATCCGATAAGTTAAGCGGCGGCTCGTTCCACAATCAAAGATGCATAGCGCGGAACAGCCTGCAACCGTCCTTCTAGAAGTTCTACATGAGATGAAGCGATCACTCTTCATATATCGCGTGACACTTTTGGTTCAATTGAATAATGTCTTTCTCAATGTCTAAACATTACACTTGCATAGGCTTATTGCGGCTCTGTTAGAACCACGTTGTTGACGACTCATTCATGATCTCGGGCCGAACCGTGCAGGTGACAAAACCTAGGCGAAGGTGTTTTCGGGGATGAAAACTCCAAACAGACAGAGCGCAAAGTACAAATGACTCGGCCTTGCAGGATTATCTTCGTATTCTTAGTGGAGACTTGTGGATTCTTATTAGTTGATGCCATGTTCATCTCATTCGACCTTGCAGCACAGGTGCTGCTGTCGGCTTCCTGCCGACTCTAACTGGCGTGTCCGGTGTTGCCGAGCTTGCTACTACATGTAATTAACTGTTGATTCTTTTGGGTAATTTCATGAAACGGGCCGTGTGCTGGGACGTTACTTCAACGGTCGCTATTCTGGCAGAGTGGGCTGGGGCCTCCCACCACCAACGCCATCGACATGTCGTTCTGTTATGCTAGCCAACGAATCAAAGTTCATGAGACAGGAGAGCAAGTAGTTTTTTAGAACGGGAATGTAGCCGCATCTGTAATTATCGCTATTATCAGTATTTTCCTGACCCTTTTCACTAGAGTGAGGGTGCAGTTGATGCTGTCGGGTTCAGTCTTCAGATAGCCACCTTAGATGTAGTGATGAAGAGCGATCGAAGATTATCACGTACATCGAGCTAAAAGCTCAAACTTTCTTACAGTAACCGCTGAGAATCTCGATTCTTTTCATTTTACCCCATTGACCCCGCCGATTCTTCGGAAGACCGTGACAAGGAATGCTCAGGCTTTAGATTGGTGGCCTCGGCTTTCCTACCCAGGGCACGATGATGAAGACTAAAATGACACTCTGTTGCTCAGACAGCGCTGTCCTCCCGAACCGGCAATACTATCATAACTGTTTATTTTTAAGGTATGCGCTCAACGCCTTACTGTATCGAGGCCGAAATTGGACGAGAAACATTTCTACGAGAGAGCCACCAGGAATCGCCGTACGGGAGGCTGTGCGCGTCTCAAGCACCATGCAAGAGAAGACACGGAAAACTGCATGGAAATAATGGGTTGCAGCTACGGCATACGACGTCATTCTTAAAAATGAGGAGTGCCATCGCTGATCTAGACCACAAAGCTTTTCCGTATGGCGTTCGTACTCGTCACACGGGACAGTCGAAGTTCAGACCATGTAAAGCTTCTCGCTATTGCGCGGAAAGGCGGTTCAAACAACGGTACCGAGTCAAGAACTCTACAATACAATGATATTTGGCCTACGAGACTGGACGAACGATCATTTACCCAAGGTATGTCCGTGTTGGGAATTAATCAGATCTACTACCAAGGGCCATAGCACCAATCACACTCGCGACCGGTAAAATGCCACGCTTGGGGTCAAACACCTGAGCTGAGGGCCTTCGAAGAGACTTTCCCAACTCAGAAGGTCCCCGAAGGAGAAGCCGGGGCCAAATGTTCGTGATATTCGCCGTGCGTTTGGGTTCGAACACGAACACAAACCCTTTCACACGGAGCACTTCGGCTCTCGGTTGCTCTCCTTGGATCGAAAGTTGCGAAATTGGGGAGCCCCGAAAACCTTTCATGGTATACTTGAGATGACAAGAGTTCACGTCACCGTTTGTTGACGGCATATTTTGACAGCAAACGGCATGTATCTTCGTGGAGTCGGGCGAGTTTCTATGCATGAAAGAAATCTATAAAGTCATGGTCGTAATCCCGCTCTAGTCCAATTCTTTTTCTCATCATCCAACACATTTCACTTCTTCAACGCTTTTGCCTACTGAGTCTTTAATATCTCATAATCCACTTGTGCTTCAAACTTCTTAATATGAAGCTCCTTAATATCGTCCTCGCCCTGTCGGCCCTGGCGGTCAGCATCGAGGCACTCCCTGTCTCTGTCCCCAAAGATGAAGACACCCCTATCACGTGGGAACCATCGCTTCTTACAAACTAGGATTGCAAGCTAACTAATAAAAATAGTGATATGGCTGTTTCTGGCGTCACCAGCCGCCAAGTCCCCCCTCCTTCACTGGCTCCCAATCCCCAACCTGAGGAGGATGTCGAGGAGTGGGAAGAGTCCGTCGAAGAGGACGCGGTCGTCGACGACGGCTCAGTAGAAGCTGAAGGCAAGAAAAAGAAGAAGAAGAAGAAGAAGAAGGGCAAGAAGAAGGGCAAGAAGCCCGTGCCGGACGCCGCCCCCGAACCCGTCCCCGCCGCCGGGGCCGCTCCCGTTCCTGGGGCCGCTGTACCCGGGACAATCCCAGCTGCCGCTCCCGCGCCTAAGCCTGCCGCACCTGCCGTCCCTGCAGCTGCGCCAGTGCCTCCGAAGCCCGCCGCGCCCAGATCGGTTGCAGTCGCTTTCAGTGCCTGAGTGCTGTATTACCAATTTTATACTTGCACCTGCGTTTTGGAGATTCGGAGCTAGATGGATCGGAGGAACTGAACTGATAGTTGCTGGTGTCAACATTCATATGTTTCTAGAGGCATATGGTCCTCGGTATCTTGTACTTTGATAATAATTATCGTACGCTGTTTGACACAGCGCTAGTATGAAGTAATTACAAAAACAGTTTGTACATCAATCATCGCTAATCTGGTCATTTCTTTTCAACTTCTGGGTGCTGTGATGATTGTCCAGTGAGAACACGAGGGTAGGATTTAGGCATTCAATCTCTCGCTTTTGTCCTTCAATTACTGTATAGCAATGGCTCACCAGGTTCTGTTAACCATGTAGCTAGATTCCAATGCAACTTACCGTCATTAGCGCAGCAAGTTGTTCCTCTTGCAGGGTTGAACTAGCGGTGGATAGCACTCCGATATCCCATGTAATGCGGCATATTGCCTTGCTCTGACTCTGCGGGCAGTAGGTACTCCCTTTGCTAGTGTAGGGACAATAAATGTCACTGTAGCATCAGCCATCCATATCCTTGATGTGCCATGCGACCAAACTACAATCCCGCTAACAAAACCCTGAGAAACGAACCAATCTGCAACGCAGCTGCAATCCGCGACAGCAAATCTTGTAGCAAGAGAGTTTGCATGTAACAGTCGTGGTTTTGTAGACTTTGTATCTGCCGATCAATTTTCTCCAACAACGACGTCGTAGCTATACTAAATGGCAGCTTGATCCTGGCTAAGTTGTGTCGAGACGGACACCAATCCTGCTGCGCCCATCTCGACAGTGCCGCCAATCACGCGGCACAATGTGCAAAGTATCAGTGCCCTTGGACAAACTTTAGACGCCAATCACGGAACAAGAGCTCGGATCACCCATCTGCATCGTTCCAAGAGTATAACAGGAAGCCCGAGCCACGTCTGTGGCCTCAAAGATGAGTTTGCGAAGTGCAAAACATCTTTAGAGTATTCTGCTGTATTTCTCAAGCGCGACAGCTACGTGTACTCAACATGTCTTACAACGAGTCCTCCAATATGGGTCGCGACCGGGAGATGAAGATTCGAATGGCCCAGGAGGCCCAGGCCGTCATCGAGTTCGAAGAGGATCCCCATCGCGCAGCTTTGGAAGACAATCCAGCCGAGGCACGGGTCAGTATCAAAACATGGATAGCAATCTTTGTATGAATCCCGGGGTTTTCTGGTGAAAAAGACACATGATTCCTGACCTATAGTAGTCTATGGCTTTGTCCTTTGGCCCCCCTGTCGGCCTCGCCTTCCTCGCAGTCGCATCGATCGTGGTCCAGGTCACCAACGAGCTAGGTGGACAAGAATCTCTAGCTTGGGTAGTAGGGTCTTGGTCATTATCGACGGCATGCTCTTTTTCCCTTGCAGGGCCTCTCAGCGACGTTTTTGGCCGCCGGATACTTGTCCTTTGGGGGCAGTTCACTGTTGCGGTCGGCTGCATTGTTGCGGCCGCAGCAAAGAATATTTCAACGCTCATCGCTGCCGAGACTCTAATCGGTCTCGGAACCGGCTTCGTCTTCGTCTCGTACGCCGGCGTTCCCGAGATGCTCCCAAACAAGTGGCGATCCCTTGGTCTGGGCATATTGGAGTCTGGCATCGCGGTTCCCTGGTGAGTTGGAACATCTGACTATGGCTCCCGTCTCCCGCGTCGCATAGTTCGAACATTTCCCTGAGTCAGAAACTCTGTTTTGCTTTTTGGGAGAACCTCGGCGCACAGATTTGGAGGCCGATCTAAATAGGCGACGTGCCGACCGAATGTTGCAACCCTCCTTTGTCAAGACTTGGAGGACCCCCGCACGAGACTAGCGGCAGTTGTTCTAGTCGACGAGAGTCCTTGGTTGACTGACGCTGACTTATTTTGTGAATCACGCAGGGGCATACTCTCCGTGTTGCTCGGCAATGCTCTGTTCAAGTATGCATCGTGGCGATGGATCTTCAACCTGGGCATCATCATCGAGTTTGTCGGCCTGATCGGCACCTTCTTCTCTTACTATCCAACCGCCCGGCCTCGGGGTGACTTCGACAAAACCCGCTCGCAGCAACTCCGCGATGTCGACTGGGTAGGTCTAGGCCTCTTCACTTCCGGCTTGGCTACGGCCCTCGTCGGCTTGACATGGGGTGGCACACCCGCGTACCCATGGGATAGTGCGGGTGCCATTGCGCCCATTGTCGTCGGCGTCGTAACCTTGGCTTGTGGGTTTGCCTACGACTTCAAGATAGCACCCCGGCCTATGTTCCCTTTGAAGCTGTTTACCATGTTCCGCCAGTACTCAGTATTGCTGGTCGTTCTCTTTGTTTCAGGGATGAACTTCCATGCCATGTCTGCGCTACTGCCCCAAGGATCTCTATACATGTTCACCACGGATGGCATCGAGATCGGAGTGCTATCACTCCCAAACACACTAATGATTGGTTTCACTGGGGTTCTCGCCCCTCTTATAGCTCACAAAGTGGGATATATCAAGTGGCAGCTTGTCATCGGCATGGCGCTGCAAGCAATCTTCATCGGAGCGAGCGCGGCGACAGTCTACCCTAATAAGAAGCTCGCCTACGCTTTCGTACCAGCAATCGGGGTACCCATGTTCGTCTGGGTTACCATTCTATCCTATGCTATCGCAAGTCTCCACGTTCCCCATTCTAACTTGGGCGTAGCCATGGGCTTGCTGGGTACGTTCAGATCAGGTGGAGGTGCAGTTGGCAACGCTGTTTTCAACACCATTTTCCAAGAGAAATTCCGCGAGTTCCTTAGCAAGGATTTTGCCGCTGCTGCCATTAGCAACGGTCTCAATCCCTCGGACCTCGGCCTCATCATTCCAGCAGCTATCGAGTACAACCTGGGCAACCCCCGAGCATTGGTCAACGTCCCAGGGATTACTCCTGAAATCCAAGAGGCCCTTCGACAAGCAGTACGGGCTGCAGCCGGTCACGCCTTCAAAATTGTGTTCTATGTGACGATTCCCTTTAGTGTTGTAGCGTTGCTCTGCTCCTTGTTCGTCGAAGACCCCTCTGCTTACATGACGAACCACATCCAGTCTGTCATGGGCCAGGATCAGATCGAGCAAAGACGCGGTAAAAGGATGACAAACCTGGAGCAGAGCCGGGGCATAGAGTTTGAGACTGTCAGGACGATCCATGTGGAGCCTGTCGGGAAGAGATAAGTAGCAGCACAGCCTGCTCCTCGGACGCAATTTTACTTGAATTCTTGTTGGTGTCTATACTTTGGTTTTGTAGTGCAAAATGGTAATTAGGAGGACTAGATGGAAGCCAGGAATACAATTCTGCAGCAGCTCAGAACTACCCACTGAATAATAGGTTCTTCCCTGCTTCATTGGCCCTCAAAAATGTACGACGTGCACGTAGTAATAATGAACTTGTGGAGCCAGTTTAAGGTTGTGGGGGAGGTTGTGTGGTTGTTCTGGGGTTAGGCAGAACAAGTTGCCGTGTATTAAAGTTTATGATAATACAAAAGGACCAACAAGGATTTGCTAAAGAAAAATGGGTTTCCTAATCATGGCCTTAAGCACATAGGTAGTATGCAGTGATTATCCCGGATGTTATCATGATTGTTGTTGTTTGGAACAGTATTCAACCACGAAGTTTTCAACGCTACTCAACAAGATCACACCCACTGGCCCATCCTTAATTACTAAGCGCAAAGTTTCCTGGGAAGAAAAGGAAAAAAAAAGACATGACTTCTAGTTTTCAAGGAATTGAAAGATATAGATTTATATACACTAAAGCTGGTCTTCACCACAGCAAAGTTTTGTAAGCCCATTATCAACCCTCTAAACGCCACGCACAAGTATCTTCTGGTCGGCCATCAAGTCTCCACGACTGACTGGCATTGAAGGGTATACAGACCAGAATGATTTGAATGCTCATGTTGACAAACTATATTCCATACTCGCTTCATTCCCACATTACACCAACGACACTGTCCAAGTTTCAACAACTCTCAACGCCTTGTGTTATCATCCAACTGAGCTGGGGCGTTGCCTCCATATCCGTGGAGGCCGGTGTCTAGTTCATAACGAGTGTCCGTAGGAGCTTCATAAACCGGATTATGGCCTGCTTCAGCAGCGTGCGCATGAGGCTGCATGTGACCAAGTACTTTTGCTTCCTGTGCGTAGTAGTCGTTGTGAGGTGTGTTAGGTGACGTCACGGATGGAACGGTAGACGCGTTAATCGTGCCGGGGCTGAGGTTTCCGGGGGCATGACCGCCTTTGCCCATTTCCTCGTGGCTGGTTTGAGACAGAGGCGTGCCCTTGTTGGCTTTCTTGCGACGCCACCAGAAGAAAACGGCGGCACCAATGAGTGCGACAACAGCAAGGGAAACTCCAACTCCGATTCCAGCGGCACCTCCTGCTGTAAGTCCTCCTGATGATGAGGAGTTGTCTGGCGTCGAGCCTGATGTCGGGTTTGAGGTTGCGCCAGAACTGTTACTTCCTGTAGCGGCGGTGGCAGCGGTGGCGGCTGTTCCTGTTGCAGCAGTATCGGTGACAGTCTCAGTAGCACTAGTTGATGCCGTGGTTGATGTAGGCTTCAAACTGTCAGCTTCACTTTTCTTTTGGTAATAGACGACAAATTAACTTACTGGTGTACTGTAGATAGTTGAATAGGTTTTATCATTAACTGGACGCTCGCTTGTCATAACCCAATGCTGGGCGAGCTGCTTGGCTGATACCCCCTCAGTACCTTCAATATCGCTGGACATGAAGAGGTTGGAGCCCGGGTGGACATCAAGAACATATCTGGAGCCGTTCTTAACATTGGCGAACTTGTATGAGCCATCGCCTAAACAAATCAGCAACATGATCACATATGAAGGCAAGGTACTTCTCCTAGAGCTTACCCCATTCGCTGATGTCCCATTGCTGCGATTCATCTGATTCTGTCGTCCGCATGCAACCAATCGTACCACTCAGGTTGATTTCGTTTGCGCGCCAGCACACTGAAAGCTGGTCCCTCACACCAGATATGTTCAGTCTGATAAGGTAACGTCCATCAACATCGCCTACAGGTTGGAATTGCCATGCTTGTGGTGCTAGGGGGAAGACTCGGAGGCCCTGATTTGTGTTTTGGAGGTTGGGATCGATTTTCTCCGAGACGTTGACTACTCGGGTTTCGGAGATTTGGTACCACGCGTTCGGGTCCAGCTTTGCCGCAACCATCTTTGCAATTGTGCAGACTGCTTCAACTAATATTGATCCTTAGTGAGATATCGTTAGAGGTTACGATTGCTTCAGCAATGGCTTAGGTCGTCGAGTTGTAGGTGAGCCCAGCCGGCTGTCGAGACCAAAAATTGCCACGAACTCTGTGGGCTGATGGGCTCAAGAAATGAACAACATAAATCGGAAAGGTCAGACAAGAGTGAAGAAATATGGAATGTGAAAGGATGCGAAGAGATCAAAAAGGGCGAGAATAGGGAAAATAAGACAAGGGCCCTAGAGCAAAGTCCTGACACCAATTTAAAGGATATTCAGCCATGCAGCAGGGACTGGGAACGGCTGCGCTACCGTTGGCTGGAGAATCTCGGCATGGGCTCGGATGTGGAGGAAGACGCACAGCTTAACTACACAGGCACGGGCTGTGAGTGGCTGTTGGTCATTCCGCCTCTTAACGCCTCCCGTGGTACTTCGAAGGATCATCGCCAAGTGAGGTCGCTTGGGAGTTGTGGGAAGCCTAATTATTGGTTGACAACGGGTAAGATACCACGCTGATTCTGCATAGATATATTTGAGACCAGTCGGTGGCAAGGAGCAGCGGGCATATCAGCCTTTCGATGTCTCGCGATGTGGCAGGCGGCGTAGCACCAAGAAAGTTTTCTTAGGATAAAGGGAGATCCCGCATTTAACTCCTCACAAGTTGATGCCTTTCCTTGATTTCTGAGTCTATCAATCAGTTTGACTTGAATTTGCCGACTGTTGAAAAAAGGGCAAAACCACCCGCATGTCGAGGCTGCCATGCTGCTATAGCTATACAAATCAGGCTCCGAGACTTGGATGCATATTTCGCGGAATCCTTCGGCCCACACCTTTGCCGGCATATATGCTTGGCGGATTCATCCCTTAACCTGAGCTTTAAGAAGTAAAGATTGGCGGGATGCCCATGATAGTCGTGGACAAGTGCAGGTAATTGACCATCCAGATAACCAACGTGATGCCTGCGCGACGAATAATTTAAATTGTTTTACTCCTCGTTTGCTCTACGTTTGAAAGTCGTGGTGATAGGTATGAAAACTTCAAACTGAATAAAGGAGGAAACCGAAGCATAAAAGGAAAAAAAGACAAAAAAAAAAAAAAAAAAAAAAGACAGAGAAAATAGCCGCCACTAAAAGTTCTGAAGCGGGTGCACTACAAGGTAGTGCCTAGCGAGATGTCACCTTGTTAGTGGGGGTGGTAATGAAGTGTTCGAAATGTAGTAAGCACTAGCACCTCAGCCCTGTCACGCTTTGGGGGCTGCCACCTGCAGTCGGAAAGCAAGGGGCAATCCATCTGATTAGTTGCCCTCGTAATAGCGGTCGGTTAGGGGCTTTGCGGCTGCCCAGCGCCTCTACCCCAGTTGTGAGTGTGAGTGCTCATGGGTCTGCTCGGACTTTTCTGTCCGATCAACCCTCCTCCTCGCTTGTTGTGATGAGCAGGAAGATGGAAAGAGAGACTCTTTTTTTCATGTTCCGATTTTAAGGATCTACCTTTTCGGTTGGAGAAAAAAAAAAAAAAAAGAGAAGAAAAAAAAGGGTCTAGATTTGAGTAAGTAGAGTGCAATCACTGCTGGTTTTTTGCTCTTTGTTTTGAAAGAAAGCAAGAAAAGCAATGAAACAGAATGATGAGATGGCAAACCCGTTCACAAACCAGTTTTCTAATGATCTGCCAAGTGTGATATCGTTTGATTGCTAAGCTGCGATTTCTGAGCACCCTGGATCATGTATATACACAAATATTTGCTAGGCTGAAGTTCACCTATCTGAGCATTTCCTCTCGAAGAAATCCCCCGTCACACAGAGAGTAAGGAAGTGGAGATAAGATGGATATTTGAAGATTTGAAAGAGCATTCTCGAGCGTTTGCTTCGTCAGATGCCTAGGCAAGGGTAAGCAAGGCGAGGTTCATTTTATTTCCTACTTTCACTCATTGTACTCTGTATTCGGAAAGTATGCCGAATCCTTGCATCTTCTCACAGCGTGATGCTAGGGTGCGGCGGAATAGAGCATGGCAGGAAGCCATTGGCTAGAAATACGCCCAGTACATGAGTAAATCAGGCCAGGATTTTCATGCACTGGTTTCAAATGATTTTCTATGTTCCCCTGGTACATTAGCTGCGTGGGTGGTCAGTTGGTTGCTGACGTCAAGGGTTTGTGTATTAATAATGATGGAGCTGCACAGGTCGGGAGACAACTAACAGCCTGAGAGCCGAAAGAATGCACTCAAAGCGCCTAGATCACACTGAGCTTGGAGCCCGCAAGATCCATGAATTACCCTCTTAGGATCACTACTTTTGAGCTTCAGTCCTAATGGACCAGTTACCCTAATTCTCCTATTGTCATCCAAGCACGTATTTGATTGCTTGAAAAAGTTGATCACGGATAAATCCTTCCTGGTCAGCAATGGCCAGGTCAGCAGGTCTAGGCTTGTCAATCAACCTTGGCAGCATACCAATAGGATTTCTGCCAAAAGTTTTTGGTCTGGTTTGATACCCTTCTTTGCCACGTCTTCTTTCTGGAAGATAGCTATCATATCATGGCAATCCTCCCGGCACCCATTAAACAACAGGTTGACTGGGTGGTGTGCAGCCGACATCGCGTGTTTGTACTGCACTCGAAATGAGTTCAATTTTAAGTCCGAACTGGAAGATGATGACCAGTCGCTTCCCATATCCAGCCTCTAGGGTAGCTGACACCTCGTCCCTGTCGTGATACCATTCAGTTGGAACTCCGTCCATGCCGACCAAGCGGTTACTCTCACCAGAATCTAGGTAGTTAAACCACTCTTCTGAAACCTTGGCAGCTACCAGGCTGTATCGATATCATCCGATCTGTTCCACATAGTGTCCACAACCGGAGCATAGGCCACATCTTGAATGTCTCGTGGTTTTGAATTCTCAATGGGACTGGCTATGGCGTCATATATTAAGTTTCCGACACTCATTCAAATACTCTTCTGATATTGCTGTTTTAGCTGGGAAACATTCCCGGAAATATCTATGCTTCAAATTATCTCCTTTCATTAGGAGCAATAACTGTCTAGTGGGAAACATCAAGAACGCACCCGGCGGCATTTGCAGGGAAGGAAGCTGAAGCAGACCTGCTGAAGCGCTGCTCGCAGAGAGATCACCAGGCAGACAGTAGAATTGAGGATGTCAACAATCAATCTAGGGGATCTATAGGGTTTTGCTCACCATCCTGATTACCACTGCCCCAATTGGTCAGTCTCGTTTGACCTCGCTGAAGCAGCCTTCGAGTAGGCAGCCTGCCGTAACCCTGTCGTCGAAGCATAGCTTGTCGGTACTTCAGCCCTAACGTTGATAGTAGCTATTCCTTACCGCCTATTTCACACGCCACACTTATCAATGCTCAAGGGCTTATAACCAGTCCTTGATGACGCGAAAAGAGTTTGGTTTAGTCGACTGCCGGTAAGTTTTTCATTTCCAAGCTCGGCTACATACCGAAATGCAGAAGTCTCGACCTTTTAAACGGTCAAGTGCCGCTTTCTTTCATGGCGGACTAAACCTCTTCAAGCCGCACACATATTTGTGACGCAATATGCGGCAAAATGCAAGAGATGGAAAACCTTGCAAAGAATAGGAGACACTTATCCAAACGATCCTGATCTTGGCGCTTCAGTTCCGCTCTTCCTTATCCAAAAGCGTCAGACTTTACGAAACAAAACTTTTGGTTCTCTCGTAATCTATACTTCAAAATTGGTCTGTCTTGGATGGTTGTATTCTTCATGACATTGTTCCTCCTGATCTCCATATTTCGGCTCTTTAGCGACCTCGGACCGTAGCGTTTCGGAAGACCGGAGCTTGATACTGGGGCACTAAATCATCGCCTTGTCAACACCAGTTCGACACTAATCATTGACCCTAGCAGAAAAAACAAGTGCCGATCAGTGAGCGGGTTCTAGGCAGGCTGAGTGCGGTGTCGCGGAGAACATTCCGGGCGATCACCGAGACCGGCGCGCGACATGACACATGACACTTGCGATTTAGACTGTCTTCTAGGCTTGCAGTCTAAAACGTTGATCACTTCAACATCTTCTACTGGCGATACGCTAGGAGCTTTTCAACACATCATGGAAGGAAATGCTAGCATTTTCATCTCTCGGCGGGATTTGATCATGCTGCTCTCGCCGCCCTGCTGCAGAACGTTTGAGCTTCAAAGCTCTGGCATCACGGTATGGGCACCTTCAACATGAAAGGGCCCTAACAAAAAGTGAGAGTGAAAATTTAAACACAGGCCTGTGCTTTCATCGGCAAGTAAACAGCCGTCAGGGGGATGGCGCAGGATTTGGCGGCAGCGTCCACTAGCGTAGTCTACAGTTGAATTAGCACCGAATATCTTTGACCCAAGAGAGACAAGCTCCTATTTGAAGTCGCTTTTATTGAACACGAAGTGGAACCCAACAGCCTAACGGTTTCACTTTTCCTTTATCTTTGTTCGGCGTCGCGTTATGATGATTAAATATGGTGGATAAAGAGGCTGTTGGGTCTCCGCTCATGAAGTGTCAAACATGGCAAGGCGGAATAGAATCGATTGTGATGTCCATTGGGGTCGGACGCTAGCAGCATGTAGCGTCTTGGAGCTCAACACTAAGCATCAAGTCTCGCAGAATTTCTGACTCCGAAGGGTCTTGGAGCTTTCTCCTTTATAACTATAAGTCAAGCCGGTCACGGGAGATTGTTCCTTTTGTCATCATGGTTTCCTATTTTCCGTCTTCATTGCCATTCCGTGCCCTTAGGAAATGATGGGAACTTTCGTAACGTCTTAAGCATTCATTACTTATCACACAGGTCTCAATCAAAATCTCACAATTCAATATCATGAGGTTACCGCCAGTCACGGTCATTTTGTCATGGCCAGCACCAAATTATGTTGACCCAGAAGAACGGGGGCCAGCCCTTATGATTATCGAAATTATCTCGCTGAGCATCGCTCTAAGCTGCTTAGGGCTGCGATTATATGTTAGGTTCGGTGTCATACATAAGAGTTGGTGGGACGACTGGCTTATGATTGGGGCTGCTGTGAGTCTTTGTTGTTCAAAACAAGATGGACCACCGCTAATAGAAGTCCGTGACAGATTTTCTGCACATCCGTCACAATATGTGTTATTCTCGGTAAGACTGTCCCCCATGGATGTTTCTAGATAGCGGAAAGGATTATGACGGCTAATTACTTCTTTTTGAGCAGCAACACAACTGTATGGATGGAATCTACACGTCTGGGACTTGACTCCTCTCCAGCGAAAGCAGGGCCGCGAGGTAGGGCATCAGGTCTGGCAGGTATAAATGTCACGGAACGCTTACAAACGAGATGCAGGTTTCCATTGCAGGCCAGACCCTGTTTCTTTTCGCTTCAGGCCTCTCAAAGCTCTCGATCCTTTCAAGTTACTTGAGGATAGCTCCGCTGGGGTCTTGGTTTCGACGGCTCACCTGGGCGACAATTGTTGTTGTTTTTTCTCTCATGTGGATTTTTCTTATCGTGCTATGGACACAATGCATGTAGGTGAATTGTACACATTTTTACGGACTATGAAAGTGTACTAATTTTAAATAGACCTATTTGGCACTACTGGGAGCTGTTAGCCAAGGACCGCAACTGCATGAGCGAATGGCCCCCATTGGCAGGACAAACACTTACCACTGTGGTAACTGATTTCATCGTCTACATCTTGCCTATGCCGACGTTCTACAGGCTTCGACTGCCTACTTTGCAGCGGATTGTTCTGATTATCCTCTTCAGTCTTGGCACCGTCGTTGTGATTGCAGGGATCATGAGAATGTACTGGGTAACGTCCCACACCCACTTCTGGGCACCCCCCACATTTGGGCACCCCATTTACACCAAAAACGCCGTTTTTCGAAATTCTATATTAAACTAAATACTTTACTTATTAAAGAGAATAAATATATATTAAATAGATTAAGACTTAATTATAATACTTAAGTAGCTATATACTAGTATTATTAATAATAAGTATTATAAATTCAAGGTTTAACATTTATAATACTAATTTACCTAGCCTATATCTTAATATATAAAATAGGTAGAGATATTTAACTAATATGATTAGAATTTTTAAGTAAGATATAGTAGATTTATATATTCTTATACTTAGTAAAAAATTCTTTAAGCTTAGAATAATATTTTAAAATTTCCCTTAAGAAAAGTGTTACGACCCGACAGTTAACAGACCACTGACGACGACCCCGCAGGGGCTCAGCGGTTATAGGGACGGCCGTCAGCCGTTACGTCGTAACAACCCCCACGGAACGGAAGAACTAGGATACAGGTCACGTGACGATAAGCAGGACCGACGGACGATAAGCGGTCCTGGGACAGGACCGACGGTGCCAAGGGCGGTCCAGAAAAAACATCAACAACAGCGAGAACGAAATTTTTGAAAATCGGAGCAAAAACGGCCCCAAATACGCGTGCTCGCGGCCACAGAGCCCCCTTCGATGCAATGCCATCCTCGGCCTTGATTCTACGTCCCAAAGGGGCCCAAGATGGCCGCAGAGCACGCCCCGACTACAATGAAAAACTTGAGAGCAAGCCGCAAAATACGACATATCAATAGACAACACTGTTACCACCACCACAGGCGAGCCACAAGCCGCTACACGAAGCACTAAGACTGCGCCCAAACAATCAACTTCAACACAACAGCCGCCGACAGGTTTTGGGTCACCTGTCACCCCCGACAAAGTTTGCAACGTCCCACAACGACGAAGATGAGTCCGACAGAACAGTATCACCTTCCGCACGGAGAAAGCACCAGGCATTAGGCATGCTACGATCGATGCCACACAATACTACAGACCACAGACAGACTGGTCCCCTGTCGCCCCTTTTGCGAAGAAGGATTGGTGTCCCTTCAACGCGCGACAATGTCTGCGGAATCTGTGCGGGAGCTCTCATACCCAGTAATCGAACATGTCGGAGTCAGTGGAGCATTGTGCTTCGTGGAAGACCCTTGGGCCAATGTGGTGGAGGGCAATAGTGGTCAACAGGCAAGAAACAAGAGGCCACATAGGAACCCGGCAGGAGGCAACAAAGAATTTACAGATGCAACTGAGAAAACGGCATATACAAGTCCGGGAGGATACGGACAAAACAAAGAGACAAAGCTGAGCGCTGGGGGGAGACTGTAGGTACAAAGAACCAGATACGGTGCTACCAGCACCAACTGAACCGAAGCAGGAGGACGCAAAACAAGCATTCTAGAGAGCAACACAAAAGCGAGAAAGCAGACAGGAGAGCAACACACTTCTTCAACAGAGGGCACAAACACACAGAATAGAGAACATAGTGGGGAGCTTGGGGATAGCTGGCCCTGATGCAACATCAGGGCGAAGTGGGGCGTCGCTGTTCATTGTCGACGCTTCGGCTACCTGCCAAACCCCGCTTTCCGGGCATAGCTGCTGGCATAAGAGCGGCTTCATAACCGAGTAGGAATAAATCAATCAATCAATCAACCAAGGGCGGTCCATGGCGATGGACCGACGTCCTGGGTGTCGGTCCCCCAGGATCAGGAAGTGTTCAGCATGGAACCAGACTTGTATATAGTTGGGACTCGAGTCCTCTCGAGTCCTACCTTTCCTAGTTCTTCAGCAATCAACTTTGTGATTACCCTAACCGGTACTTTCAGCTATACCTAAGTGACGACTACTCTACGACTCTTGTTGAGGCCTTGACTGATCACCAAGACCTTTGAAGATCTACGATCTATTCGACCAGGACCACGGAACGACTGTTACTACTCTCAATCCCTGGCTTACTGTTAACACAAACCCACTGTCAGTTAGCTGGCCGTAACACTTTGATTGCTCCTGTTCAGTAAGTCACCTTTTGAGAACTACTAAACAGTATAGACAAGATGTCTTCTCGCGCTTCTGCCAAATCACCCACTCCAGGATCCTCATCCTCTTCGCGCAACCAGCCTCAGAGCCTCGCGCAGGAGCCCGCCAACACTGAGGACTTCGACATGCCGGACCTCAAGTACGACTCCGATGGAGATGGCTCTTTCACCAAGGAAAGCTACGATAAGCTCCGACGCATAATCCAGAAACAAGAAGCCGAGACAAAAGACATGCAGAAAATCGTCAACGAAAACCGACAAGCAATGGAAAACCTCAACGAGCAACTCCAGCACGCTGGACAGGCCTACAAGAAGCTGGAAGAAGACATCAAGGGGGACGCCAACCTCCGGAAGATCTAGGAACTCCAGGGGGAAATCACCACCCTCCGGGCCGCCGCTAACATCGTCACCACGCCCGTCCACGGAGGACGACAAAAGCTCAAGCTCAGTGCGCCTGTCACCTACGACGGAACCCCCGGGACCCTTAAAGGATTCCTGATTCAGGTCAAAAATTACTAGAACTTTCACTATGGAGATTTCACTAACGAAACCGAAAAAGTAGTACACGCAGCCACCTACCTCCGAGGAAAGGCCCTCAAGTGGTTTGAACCAATCCAGGAAGAATACCTCAAATGCGAGACCCTCGACGAGTGCACTACCGAGACCCGCGACATCTACGCTAATTTTAAAGGATTCGAGGATGCGCTTAGGTCACTCTTCCAAGACCCCGACGAAAAGCGACAAGCCGAACGAGATCTGGCACAACTTAAGCAGACTAAGTCCGCCAAAGACTACTCCGCTAATTTCCAACAACTCAGCGTTCAACTCGACCTCACCGAGGAAACCAAGATCTTCATGTTCTATCAAGGACTAAAGGACGAAGTCAAGGACGAGATCATCAAGATTGATCGACCTGACGACTTTCTCCAGTACGCCGAACTCGCCATCAAAATCGACAACCGGCTTTTCGAACGACGAAAGGAAAGAGGCGAAAAACGACAAAACCCCAACTCAGGACGCAAGTACCAGTGGCAGCCTCAGCACCAGTTCAACAACCAGCGAAACGACAATAGACCCCGCAACAACTGGAACAACCCCCGACAAAGTACTGCCTATGGTCACCACAGTGGACCAATGGACCTTAGTGCTACACAGAGAAACGACAAAAAGAACGATAGTTGGAAGAAAGACAGACAGTGCTATAACTGCTAGAAGATTGGACACCTAGCATACGAATGCAGGTCACCCAAGAAGGAACGCTTCCAACCGGTACCAGAGAAACGACAAGCGAGTATCGCCACGAAGACGATCCCTCATGAACAACTTAATTAGACCACCTGCTTCGATGACAACTGCCATATCCACTCTAGCAGTAAGGAACACGCAGGATGGTACCCCTAGAAACCTTAAGAACGATCTGGTTACGACACTACCAACGTACCTAAACGGACCCTCGCTGCGGGATATAGAAGCAACAGCAAAATCGAGCGCAAGACAATCGAACGGCTCGACAGTATGAACGACAACGAGGAATTAGAACAAGACAATCAGCGAAGGCTGAGCCTCCTCTACGCAGGACGACAAGCCCACCTGCAGCGGATTCAACAGGACTCACAAAACCCTATGTAGCAACGACAACTCGGTGCGCTGGACGCACACATCGAACGACGACAACATGCACAAGGAGATCCCGCACGGATCCGCCAGATCAACCAAGAACTGGAAGAACAGGTCGAATCAGAAACGACCAAGAACACCCCCAACGACTCGGAAACACCTCGCGATGTTGCCCGCCAACATGCCCAACTGGAAGTCGCCTTTGAAGTCGCTTCAGTCAACGACACCAGCTCTGGAGAGGACTCTGACGAAGAAATACAGTGGTATCACTGCTACCAAGACCAGTGCCGAGTCCACTATATCAAGAAAGACGAAGCATGGAAGAAACAGCAAGAAAACGACGAACAAGGAACGGACGAGCAGTCAAAAAACTAGACTCGCCTACCGAAGACAAGGGACAACGACAGGCAGTCCAGACAAGGTCCCTATGTAGCGCAACGACGCCCACGACACAACGACACGAGCATGTACAAGTCCAAATACAGCTCAACGGAAGAACAGCTACCGCCATGATCGACAGCGGAGCCCAAGGAAACTTCATATCACCAAGAACGGTGAATGAAAGAAAGATAACCTGGAAAAGAAAAGCAGCCGAAGACTGCTACGAACTCAGCACCGTTGAAGGAGAACAAGTCCAGTACGGCGGAGGACGCATTGTTATGGAGACAGCGCAACTCCCAATGCAGATCCATGGCCAGAATGAGCGACTCAACTTCGATATTACGGAGATAGGAGACAAGTACGATGTCATCCTTGGAAGACCATGGTTATACGACAGTAACCCACGGATAGATTGGAGAACAGGCCAACTCCATTGGGACCAGGATTCAGTCACTGAGAAGCAACCACGGAACGGTGCCTCAAACGAACCTCTCAAGACTCCTGAAGCGAAGAGATTTCTAGCATACCTACGGATAAAGGATGCAAACGCCAGGACGTTATCAGCAACAGACATCGGCAAGGAAGACCGACTTCTGTCTATCCCAGAAGAATACCGGCAATACCAGAAGCTATTCGCCGAAGAACTCGAGACCGGACTCCCGGAACACAGCAACTACGACCACGAGATACCCCTTAAGGAAGGGAAGGAGCCAAAGCTAGAAGCAATCTACGGACTTAACCAGAAAGAAATGGAAGCACTCGACGCTTACCTCAAAGAAAATCTACAGAAGGGATACATCAGACCCTCTACATCACCAGCAGGATACCCAATCCTGTTCGTACCAAAAAAGAACGGCAAACTACGACTCTGCGTCGACTACCGGAAACTCAACGACATTACGATCAAGAACTGCTACCCACTACCGCTCATCTCCGAACTACGAGACCTGTTGCACGGAGCACAGTGGTTTACAGCACTCGACCTAAAAGGAGCCTATAACCTGATCCGGATGAAATCAGGT